CCAGGCTGGAGTGCAGTGGCGCGATCTCAGCTCATTGAAACCTCAGCCTCCAGGGTTCAAGTGATTCTCCTGCCTCAGCCTTGTGAATAGCTGGTATTACAGGCATGCACCACCAGGCCCGGCTAATTTTTGTATTTTTAGTAGGGACGGGGTTTCGCCATGTTGGCCATGCTGGTTTTGAACTCTTGACCACATGTGATCTGCCCGCCTGGACTTCCCAAAGTGCTGGCATTACAGGTGTGAGCTATTGCACCCGGCCTCTTCCGTCATTTTCACTGACGATCTTCAAATGCAGAGTCATCAAAAAAGTATAAATTATTATTATTATACCACTTACTAATGCAAACAAATATGTAATATATCTTATAAGTGTAATTATTAAATCTGTGGTAGAAAGAATAAGTTCTTAAACCTATAAACACAAATATTCTTAACATACCCAGTAATTTTGATGTTACTAATTTTGGAAGCTGGATCTTACATGTCTTGATAATTGGGTTTTGTTTTATAGTAGTAGGTTCCAAAATCATATTTCTTAAGTTGAGTACCCAGCTCTGTCATTTATATTTATGTGATCTTCAGCCGTCAGCTGAGGTACTTAAACCTCAGTCTCCTCATCTGTAAAATATATACTTGTATTATATCATAAGATTTCTGTGAAGATAAAATGAAACCTGGTTTAGGAAACTAGCACAGTATCTGACATGCAGTGAGTGTGTAATAAATGGTGGTTACTATTATTTTCAAAGAGCCATAGAGAGATGTTATACAACTATAACATTCTTACTAAATACAGAAACTGTAAACAAGCATGGTTCCTACAAAAATGTCAACTCAGGGTTATACAGGGTTAGATATACTTCTGTACTGCTTTTATTTGCCTGGCTTATGGATGAAAATGAATAGGGATGGCCTTAGACAAAACATTGAGGTCTCATACTCCCAGTTCTTTCTATGCATCTTGTTCTATGGCTTACCAAAACAGTTTTAATTTCTAACCCATTATTTTTCTTCTCAGTAGCGTTAACAAATGCACCTATGTTTTCTGAAGTCTATTTCTAAAAAAAAAAAAAAAAACTATAGAAGGCAATACCTGGTACTTAAGTTTATCTATATGTTCATGTTACTTTCTTGTTCAGTTTCTTCCATTTTGACTGTATGTTTTTCATCTCCATTCTTTATATTTGCTTCAGGAAATTTTAAATTATAAACTCAACCTACATACTCTTAGAAAACTGGATCATCTGACTACATAGGAAGCTGTTTTCCAATATTAAAAAAAATAATACCAGGACATGTGTTTGTTTTTCTTCCAAAGACATCCTTTCCTTTTTAATTTTTTACAGTTTATGTATTAACTATAAAGTTTCACTCTTTAGCAAATGAAGTCTGCTTAAGGATTTCCTATTAGAAATCTTTAAACCCCTTCTGGTCTTTGCTTGAAGTAGCACTATTTAAATGATTGTCATATAATAAAATCTATGCTCAATAAGCAATTATTCAGACAACCATTTCTTTTGAGTTTTCCTTACTGCAGCTAATGTCAGAAAATTCAAAGTGTAGAGACTTATGGGGAAATAGAACTGCCATATTTATAAATGCATAGAGCCAGTTTTATAGAAAATCCCATGCAGACAGGGAGTCTTAGGGACTGAAGATGATTGGTTGCCCAAAGTGGTCAGAAAGAAGAGTCATTAGATAAATATTTCCCCTTTCAATTAGGCAACTGAATTCTAAAATGAGAAACAGCAAAGAGACTATGCCAACATTGTCTGAAGCTGGATAGAAAGAAGAAAGAATATAAAAGTAAGGAATAAGGACAAGTGAATGATATACAAGTTGACTTGGTTAAAAGCATAGTTTCAGGAAGACATTGCATTGCATTATATACACAAAATAATTACCATGACATTGATTTAATGTGATAACCTAATTTTGTAATCCAATTCAGCAAACATTTATTGAAAGTTTATTATTGTATTACATACAATAATAAATAATACATCAAGGATTATACTATGTGCTGAGGATATAATTATGACATAATCCTTATCTTTACTATGACTATTATCTAATGGAATGACTCAGCTCAAATTTGATTTAATTTTTGAAGATTGTAGTTTCTAAATTAATGATATGTCATATGAATTAAGCTAGACAAGTCAAAGAAGATTTCAAGACTTCAATTATCATGATCTAAGATAATTTGATAATATTAAGAGAAAGGGTAAAAGAAATACGCATTCATTCAAAACTTTAAAATAATAAAAATAGAAATAACGTAAAAGTATAGTCATGTGTTAAAGAGTGATATTTTAGTCAACAACAAACTCCATATATGACACCATAAAATGTCATATATGATACTACAATATGTTGTGTTACAATTGTCTACAGTATCCATTATAGTAACATGCTGTATAGGTTTGTAGACTAGGAGTAATAAGCTATACCATATAGCCTAGGTGTGTTGCAGGCTACAACACCTAAGTTTGTGTATGTGGACTCTATGGTGCCTGCATAACAAAATAATTTACCCATGCCTTTCTCAGAATGTATACCTAACTGTAAACACTGAATGCCTGTATATCTTAATCTGAAATACGGACAGCAAATGACATTCTAAGTATATAAGCGCTTAAAGGTATCACAATGGGAAATGGTGACAAGTGTGACAAATATAACTAAACTTTTAAAAATCTAACATTTTTTAAACATTACTAAGAGGCAAGAAACAGAAAAATATTTGTCACAAATATTACAGACAAATGCTTAACATTAATTCATAATCAAGTTCAAAACAAAAAAAATTGCAAAATTTATCTAATTTATAATTAGGAAGAGAAGCATGAAATTTCAAAAGACAATTCACTGGGTAAAAAACGAAATGATTGCTAAACATTTAAATATTCAATCGCCTAACTCAAGAAAGGCTAATTTAAAGAAAAATGCATTATTTCTCCTGTTGATTTACCAAAGCTTAAAAAACAGTTAACCATCATCAGACATGGAAAGAAGAGTCAACAGAAAGAAAGAATTAAAGATGGTAGAAGAAAGGTAAATAATAACAATTACCTTTTTAGGAAAACAAAAAGGGGTTTGAGTGTTTTCTTTTCCACAAACATTGAGAAAGATGAAAAGATTTGCATGTAGAGATAGCGGTTGATGAAAATGAGGTGAAAATGAGAAAGCCTGGGCCAAGTGTCTTGATTTTGGCCTAATGAAAGGCAAGATTAACAGCTAGAAGAAAGAAGGATAGGCCGGGTGCAGTGGCTCACTCCTGTAATCCCACCACTTCGGGAGGCCAAGGCGGGCAGATCATGAGGTCAGGAGATCATGACCATCCTGGCTAACACGTGACACTCCGTCTCTACTAAAAATACCAAAAATTAGCCAGGCGTGGTGGTGGGTGCCTGTAGTCCCAGCTACTCGGGAGGCTGAGGCAGGAGAATGGCTTGAACCCGGGAGGTGGAGCTTGCAGTGAGCTGAGATCGCACCACTCCCCTCCAGCCTGGGTGACAGAGCAAAACTCTGTCAAAAGAAAAAAAAAAAAAAAGAAAAAAGAAAGAAAGAGAGAAAAGAGAGAGAGAGAGAGAGAAGAAATCAGAATAGGAAACACCCAGAGTAGTTATTGTAAAAAGCCTGCCAAAGAGCAGCAAGAATAAAAGTTATACTAGGACTTTGTAAATGATGGTGAGCCAAGCCTGTTAGAGTGTAAGACGTTTTTCGTTTTTCCCCACTCCCATCACCGACTTCCCACCAGTGGTTACTCTCTCAGCCTCCCACCAGCAGCCACTATGTTCATGTACTCATAGATGGAACGCTTAAGTGATTAGAGTTCAATAGTGTACTAGGGAAGGGCATCAATAAAATAATTTATCTTATAGCCCATGGTTGGAAGAGTCTACTGAAGTGAAGAAAATGTGAATATTTGAAGAATAGGTGTTTGAACACTTGAAGGTTCTAGGAGAAATGAGAATGAAATAATTTCTAGAAGGAATAGTATAAGTTGCAAATTACGGAGCTAGAAACTCTGAAGGCAAGGTGATTCATGTTATCTTCAGTTTTAGAGATGAGCTTACTAAAACTTGAACCGATCTCTGTTGAGTAGGTTTCCATCAGATCTGTGAGAGGCTGAAGTTCAAATATGCTGACATTTTTTATGGGCAAATATATAAAACTCCAAAGGTCTATGCTTTGACCTATAGAACTATAGTGGGATGCTAAGGAACTGGTCAAGTTCAAAACTTTGCCTAGTTACAAGGCCAACCAATATGTCATTTCTTCCGGGGGCTTTCAGTGTGTTAGTATTCCCACAGTTATCATGGACAGTTCCAAGTACAAACAATTCCCTGCCCTGCTTTCCTCTGCTTTCACTTTTCCAACCCAGATTACACACACACTATCATTGAAATGACTCAACTTTTCTCAAATTACTCAAAGTCGTGTGCCCATTTTTCACCCTTGCAGTTTCACACTTTAATCTATCTTTAACACTCTAAAAGGATATCCACCCACTAATCAATGGATTATAAATTTACCTTTGATCTCGAATAGTTGTGTGTCCTTAGCAAAATAATTTTATTTTTCTGTACCTCAATTTTTGCCTGCAAAAATGAATACCGTACGTGTATTTGAATAACCTATGTGCAGGTACCTAACACACAGTAGAGGCCTAATAAATATTAGTGTCCTTTCTCCTTTTCCATCTCATCAGACCTTCACTGCTCAAAACTTCCCAGATTTTCTCCCCTGGTTACCTGTCTCCAACTCTTCCCTCAGACATACACAAGTCTCTTCTCAGATCTCAAACCTCCTTTTCTGGAAGCTTCTTCCTTTCCCACAAGTTACCCCTGGATCCTTCCCCATCATAAACATTTTCCTTTATTTCTTCTTTTCAGTGGTCAGAATCTGATCTCTGTTGAAAGCAAATGCCAAACTTTTCCCAATTTCTTATTTTCTCTCCATTCTAAAAGATTGCCAGTTACTCTGGTACTCACCATGCCAGACTGTCTTTGGGAGACACTTCATCAGGTCTAAAAGAGTTAGTACCTGTGGTTTCCTGTGGTTTACTTTGGCTCTCAGGTGCTTAGAGGTACGAATTGATGAGGGCTGAAAGAGCACATGGGGGTCATGATTTCACAGGAAGTCCTGCTGGTTTGTTGCTGTAAAGTGGAGAAAAGCAGAAGTTCATAGTTTGAATGAATATGGATTACAAAAGAGCAAGGTACAGCCATACAGTTTTTAAAGATCAGCATTTAATTAACTTGGTGTGCAACTTTCAGAAATTTTAATTATTTATAAAGAAACAATTTCTCTATATAATGAAAAAATTTAAACATACACATTCTAGACTAGTGCTGTCTAGTTGAAATATAATGTGAATTTCATATGTAATTTTAAACTTTTTAGTAGCCATATTGAAAAAAGTAAAATTAACTTCAATAATTTATTTAATACAATATATCAAAAAGTCATTTAATTAATCAAAAAGTTGAGATATTTTACATTGTATGTCTTGCACCAAGTCTTATAAGTGTGATGTATATTTCGTACTTACGGTATATCTCATTTCTGACTAGCTGCATTTTAATTGCTCAGTTGCTCCAGGTGGCTAGTGGCTACTCTAATGAATAGCACAGTTTTATACTTGACAAAAGAGTGTGTTTAGCCAGGCACAGTGGTGCATGCCTGAAATCCCAGCTACAGGAGGCTGAGGAAGGATGATGACTTGCCAGTTTGAGGCGGTAGTGCACTACGATCACACCTGTGAAAAGCCACTGCACTCTAATCTGGGCAACATAGTGAGATCCCAACTCTTAAAAAAAATAACACATTTATATTTCTCTGAATACCTACATTTCAAGGGAGTGATGATAGAGATAGGATAAAAAATTCCTATCTTGATGTAGATTAGAAAGATAAAATCATAGTACACTGATAATAACCAACCTCCCCAATCCTCGCAAAAAGATATCCATGCCCTAATTTCTGGAACCTGTGAATGTTATTTTATCTGACAACAAAAGGTTATGTAGATGTGATTACATTAAAGATCTTGAGTTGGAGACATTATCATGGATTAACAGAGTAGACTCTAAATGGAATCACATGCATTCTTATAAAAGGGAAGTAGAGGGATATTTTACGGCAGAGGAAGAAAAAGGAGGCAATGTGATGACCAAAGCCATGACTAGAGTGACACAGCTTTGAGCCAAAGAATGTCTGCAGCCTTTAGAAGTTGAGAGAGGAAAGGAACAAAATCTCCCTTTGAGCCTCCAGACAGAATGTAGCCATCTTGATTTAAACCCAGTGGTACATACTTTGGACAATATTTTGAGCATGCAAAACCATGAGAGAATACATTTCTGTTGTTTTGAACCACAAAGTTTGTGATAATTTGTTACAGCAGTAACAAGAAACTAATACACAAGTCAATTATAGTTATGACATTATATTTTCTTGTTTATCATCAATGTCTAAACAAATGCGATTCATCCTATCTCTAGAAACTGCCAATAACATGTTCAAAAAATATTAATGCTGAAAATGCCTTGCCAGATCTTTCATCTCAAGTGGTTTCATTGACTGCCCATATGCTGAAAATTTTAAAATTTATATTTCTGTATTTCAGAACTCCCCTGCACTGCAAATTAGTGTTTTCAAATATCTCCTGTGCATTGACACCTATTTGTTCCACAGTCATAAAAATAAATGCTCAACATTGCTAAGTAACAGATAAAGGCAAATTAAAATTACAATGAGAAATAAATTTACACCAGTTGGAATAGTCATTATTAAAAAGACGAAAAATAACATGTCTCAGCCAGATGTGTCTGCCTTCTCCCATAGCCTGTGAGTTTCAAATTGCTAAGCCTCCACTTAGTAAGGGCTATATGGAACGTAGGAAAGTATATGTACATGAAATATGTATAAGAGATAGAGGCTGAAGATGATATCATATATTTATGATGAATATTGACTACTAATTTGTTTCATTGATTGTTCGCCCAGTCATTTTGCGATAAACTCTTTTTAGCAACAATGAACCAAAAATATTTAATTCTAAAGAATAGGTGTTTAATAAAAAATTCAGTAATAACAATTGACAATGAACATAAAACTTGCACAAAGTATTTCTTGATATTTCTCATCTAGCATATGTGGGGCCATATAAATATTACAAACCCCATAAAAGCTAGGTAATAAATCTTCAGAAAAAAATTCAGCATGAGTTTAACGATTAGTACTTTTAAAAGGAAAACCATGTCAGTATTAATAGATGTTGGTTTAATTCATATAGTCATGGAAAACAGGTTTCACTGAAATGTGACTTTTCATTTAGAATAAATGACTACTCAAAATTATTTTCCTTCTTTTTCAGTCTCAGGTTTTCTTGTGTGCATGAAAACAGTATAGGGACAACTGTTTATGGAGTAGGGCTATTTTCAAAAAAACTTTGCAAACAGTTAAATGATGTGTGGTTCAAATTAGTCTCAACAGTTATTTCAAATACAAAGTTTTATTAAGCACAATAGTCATTATATTTTCATGTAACTCATGGACTCAAACTTTTAGAAATTAATTTTTCTATGGTAAAACATGGGAGAATTATTGAACATTATTCTGAATAGTTAGAATTTCAACCTTGAAGACTGAAATGATATGCTTTTAGGGAAATAAAAGTATAAATGCTTTATATTTTATCTTTTGCACTCTATCTGTTTTATGTTTTTCTGAATTTATGTTTCTAATGGCATTTGTTTAGACATTGATGACGAACAAGAAAATATAATGCCATTCCTATAATTGACTTGTGTATTAGTTTCCTGTTGCTTTTGTAACAAATTATCACAAACTTTGTGGTTAAAAACAACAAAAATGTATTTGCAGATCAAAAGTCACGATAGAGAATTAAGAAATGCCTGAAATATAAATATATTTGGAATTAATTCCATTAAATCACAAGTTGTAATATTTTACCAGCCTAATATACCAAGCTGTATACTACAGCTTCTATACAGACACACAAACACATACACATTAAAATGAAGCTTTACACTTTCTCTCTTTGCTGCTTATCATCAGTTAAATTATAGAAATAGTTTAAACTTTACTAAACAACCTTGTAAGCCAATCTAAGTGTCCTACTATGGGATTGAAATGTGTTGTGAATGGTTTTTCTAAATTTGTATTTATTTACTCATTTATTTAAATTTTTTTCTAGGCCTCTCATACCTAGTTCTTACTCAGTTACTTTTAAAAAACTTTTTTATGTTGGAAATCTAATAAAATTACCCAAAAATGTCAACATTGACACAGAAAATTGAAAGTATTGAAATTAAAAACTGGAAATAGAATAGTATTCCATGGTGTATGTGTACCACGTTTTCTATGTCCAGCCTATCATTGATGGGCATTTTCATTTATTCCATGTATTTGTTATTGTGAATAGTGTTGCAATGAACATACACATGCATGTGTCTTTATAAAAGAATAATTTATACTTCTTTGAGTATATACTCGGTAATGGAATTGTTGGGTCAAATGGTATTTCTGTTTTTAGGTCTTTGGGGAATTGCTGCGCTGTCTTGCACAATGGTTGAACTAATGTACACTCCCACCAACTGTGTAAAAGTGTTCTTTTTTCCCCACAACCTCACCAGCATTTGCAATTTTCTGACTTTTTAATAATAGGCATTCTGACTGGTGTGAGATGGTATCTCATTGTTGTTTTGATTTGCATTTCGAGGGTAGAGGTAGAAAGGAGGGAGAAGATAAGGAAAACTTACTAATGGGTACTAGCCTTAATATACGGGTAATAAAATAATCTGTTTACAACAATCCTCCATGACACAAGCTTACCTATGTAAAAAACCTGTCCATCTACCCCTGAATTTAAAAGTTTAAAAAATATGACATTCATGTTTTATATTAATTGGAAATGTATGGAATACATAGACTAAATTCCGAGGAAGTTAAATGGAAAAAAAAAAAAAAAGAATAACACTTTTCTCTATTGTAATGAACTGAATGCTTATGTTCCCCCGGAATTTATAGGTTGAAAACCTAACCCCTAATGCAATGTTATGAAAAGATATAGGCCTTGGTGAAATGTTTAGGTCATGAGGGTGAAGTCCTCATGAATAGTTAGTGTCCTTATAAAATAAACTTCAGAGAGCTCTCTAGCATTCTTTTTGTCATGAGGATTCAATGAGTTGAGAGTCTGTAACCTCACCAGAGCCCAATTATGCTGGCACTCTGATCTCAGACTCCCAGCCTCTAGAACTGTGAAAAATACATTTCTATTGTTTTTAAGACACTGTCTATTTTTTTGTTATAGCAGACATCTACAGAATTGACTAAAACATCCACAGAAACAAACAAACAAAAATAGGAAATTTGATGATGAGAGTTCAGTGTACATAATTTATTTATGTATTTATTTACTCATTTATTTTTTAGAGCCAGGGTCTTCCTCTGTCACCCAGGCTACAGTGTAGGGGCACAATCATATCTCACTGTAACCTCAAACTTCTAAGGTCAGGTGATTCTCCCACCCTCCCCACCCAGCCTCTGTATTAGCAAGAACTCATAGGTATGTGCCACCATGCCCAGCTAATTTGTGGTTGTTTGTTGTTGTTGGAGAGGTGGGGTGTCACTATGTTGCCCCGCTAGTCAAGAACTCCTGGCTCAAGCAATCCTCCCTACTCAGCCTCCCAAAGCATTGGGATTACAAGTGTGAGATACTGTGCTGGCCCATAATTTACTTTTCAAAATCTATAATTGATCTACAGAACAACTTGTCTTCTGAGAGAAACTTCTGAAGGTGCTTTTTTAAGAAATTGAATAAATTAATATTTTTTACACAAATAGAATGAAATTGAACCCTTTGTTTTTGCAGCATCTAAATTTGTCAAGATTTATAAAAGAACCATAGGATCACCTTATTTTATGGGTGTTGTTACATAAAAGTATTTGTTGAAGAAAGTTATTCTGAATAAAAGCAAAAAGACAGTGCCAGTTAAAATGTGTAGACTGAAATTTTTCAATATTTCAATACAAAAATAGAATGAAGAATATAATTAATTTAGTAGAATTAACCCTGAGCTTACTGAAACCTTAGGAAAAATATATAAGAATTTTATCAATTAAAAATACATAT